GAAATATTTTGGATACCTAGGTCTAAGAAAATTAGCAAATATAAGTAAAGAGACTATTCAGTAAATGCATCGTTTAGAAACGAGTTTAAAGTAAACTCCTAGTACTTGCGGAGGATGTTCTATAGTGTGTTCTTATTGCTTTGAATTCTTATTTCGTTTAAGTAAATAAAGAAATTATTCTGGTAATTAAATTACTTGTAAATTCTCTTTCATGTTTTTAACTGCCCTCGATAATAAACACGATTTTTTTATTAATCATCGGCATTGTCCCAGATTTTCCCCGGTTAATCGGGAGTTGAACGTACAAACAAAATTTTCTCCATTAACCAATAACTGATATTGCTAACAATTTTGGCATTTTAGTAAGCTTTACATTTTTAGATGAGCCAACTGAATCCTCATATACTTTCTAAGGAACATTCTAAGGTCCTATAATTTTTTTCGCTAGTGCACCGAAAGGTTTCTTAATTTTTTCCTTAAATAAATAACGATTGCCTTTAGATATTACAGAAGTGTAACATATGGTAAATGATCGCTTCACGTGACTAACGCAATTAAAATCATAGAAAGAGTTAAGAACAAGGGTTGTTCCGTCGATTTTGTTCTTAAACTGAATTTTATTTTTTATTTTTTATGTGAACCTTTCATAATATATTTCAGTCAAAAAAACCTTAAACTGACTCCATTTTCGACAACCAACTAATCGAGATCCTGCACAAGAGCATTCCCTATCTGCCTCCCTAAACCTAATGAATAAATATTTGCAACATTCTTTCCAACAAGTTTCAAAATAGACCAGATAGCCCTTTAGAATGAAAAAAAAGGCGAGTATGCATCAAACCCAGCTTCCTACCGCCCACGAAATCTTCTTTCTGTGTTAGGTAAAGTACTGGAGGGAGTTCTATTGGATCGCTTCGGGGGCAGTGTAAGAAAATTCCACAGCAAGCCCATACCATTTCAAGTTCCCCTTCCAAATAAGAGCACTACACATACAATAATTTAAGTTCTAGAGCAGATATAAAGTACAGAATCAGCACTAAGCTCTGTTATATGTAGACTTCCAAAAACTCCCTCTGGTGTTCAGAGGTTCTAGGCACACTGAAAACAAAACTGTCCAAAAAACATCTATGAAATTGTTCGAGATTGCTTCAACAACAGACGTAGCGTAATTGTAACCAATAACCGTATACTTGGAAATATACAAGTCAGAGCCTGTCCTCACCGCTCATGCCAAAGTGCATACTTTTGGAACGCAACAAAATCATAAATCACAAATGCCCCCAACATTCTAAATGCATAGCTTTCGCAGACGATGTGGCTTCTGTCGTGAGCGTTAGCTCCAGAGACGTTTTACAAAGAAATCTATAGAACATACAGCATAATTTTAATTATCTACGCAAACAGCAAAAGCTAATAACCCAGGTTCTAATTATCCACATATCCTGACAAGAAATAACAAGACCTGTGAAAGGTAGTTATCTGGATAATTAATGCAGCTGGACAATACTCACATCACCTGTGGTTAAACAATGGTATCCACCACACTTCACTATATCCATGTACATATCCATTACTATCTGCTTCCCTGGTAACTGTGCTGAAAAACAATCGAAAATAGTTCTTCGATGCTTAATGCTTAAGTTTCACACCTTCAATATCCTATCTCTTTGATCCAAGCCTCCAATCTCTTTGATGCAAGCATGAAATGTAAAAACTTTATAATAATGAATGCGACACGGTAACATAATCAAGAATAAAAAAAGAATATTGAAAAATAGGAAAATATTAAAGGAAACAACCGACAAATGAAATGAAGAGTGCTAAATAAAGTCCAAACACTAAAATCTGCAAAGATTTCTACAAATAGAGTAATAAATTATAGTTATTTACGTTCTTGTATCTCTGCATGACGCAATATCAGCAAAATATTGATTTTATAGAATCGAATCAGTATCCTCAATAGTCAACAATTTCCGATGACTTACTGCTACTAAAGGGTGCATCGCAAATATTTTTCTCAAAAGGAGGAGCAAAATCTGACCTCAAAACGTGACGGAAAAACTAAAAAACTCAAGGTCGAAAGAAGTGAAAATACCCACAGTGAAAATACACGCTCAAAGATACTCAACGTTGGCTACAAAGCGTAGAAAATTAGCGATTTTTTAGCAAACAGTGGTTGTTGCTATGGGTATATTATACCGTGAGTTTTGGACATATTATACTGTCACTCGGAATTCGGGGTTTAATGCGGAATATTGGAAATTTCAGTTTCTAATTAAGGTACTATTTAGCTGTTTCTAAATATTACTAGTCTGATAATAATAAACAAAATCTTACTTCTAAATTTATCCCGATATAAATCCCAAAATTTGCAGCTTAATGATAACTAAGCAACTTGTAATCTATATCATTTCACCCACCATATATATGAAATTTTGTTCAAACGAATATCGTAGGTACATTGCATGCATAATTGCAGATAAATTTTTATAAATACTCACATTATTTTATAACAGTAATAATGTAATTAAAATTAAAATAATGATTTCAGTGAATTTTTTAACACATTCATTCAATTACAATCTTCAATTTGTCTTTTATAATATGCTTTTCAGTCTCAAGGACGAATCCAGTAGCATTCCATACCATAACTTTCAGTGTTGAAACAATGGAATGGTACATATCCAATATTCAAACAAGCAAATTTCCACGATGGCGATATACTTGCACAGATCTTTCAAAATTTTGTATGCAAATAGAGAATTCGTTCCCCAAAGGAGCAAGCCATTCCCGTTTCCAGTTCTTGCCTTTCAACGACCTATCAACCGAAGACGTCTGCGCTGTAAGGCTAAAGGTTAACAAAGCAGAAATTAACCATGCTAACATTCCTCAAAACTACGTTTTCATGTGCAGCTATTATTCCTGTGGCATATGCTGTATTTTCTGTGCCATTTTGGATGATATGGCTGTATACTTCATACGGATCATACGTAAAAGGTAGCTATCATTTCAGGCATTGGTATGTCATGGTCATTGTGAGCCTGTATATCCCTCTAGGCATCTATCCTGGATTCATTGATTTCAAATTCTCACACCAGTCAGTCAGATTTTGACAAATGCTACCAGCAATTTAGCGTCGTGATACTTTTCAATCACAGAACCCTATTATAGCTGGAGATCAAATTCGATTACTGCACTCTCCCTCTTCTTACATCGGGCAAATTCTATACTTCTGGTTAAATAAATAAGGGGGGGATACTATTCCTATATGGAAAACCCGTCTTCTTCTCTTGTAAACTTATTTCTTGCCATTATTTGCATATGTGTTGCGTTGCATCTTTAAAACTTCGACGATTTACCATATGCTCATCCGTACCATATTCATATACCAAAATTCGCATCCACAAGGCAGGATGATCCTTCATGGTGGCACTGTAGTCGGTCAACAGTGCATTTAGAATATTTAAGCAAATTAAAATAAGAAAACATTTTTAGAGGACATTCGAGCAAGCGGTATTTAGTAAAATGCTTCAAAGTTAAATCATTTAAATTTTTATTCAATGCTGCATGTAATAAAATAATATGTGAGATAGACTCTTAATGTATACGGTTCCACACTGCTTCAATTTTCAACTCCTAGAAGCGCAAAGAAAGTCTATTGTCCCGTCTTAACTTTTGAATACAGCAATACTAACTCAGATAAAAGTTCAAAACAAAACTTTTTATTTACTTTTCAGTCTGGTAGTTATACTAACTTTCAGTAGCATAAAATTAAAATTCTGTACTTGCTTGGTAACATTGAACTATTGTAAACCAAATTAAATTACTAAGTACAAAATAATACACGAATATTAAACTTTGGCTCAACCCTCCATATTTTTCGAAGCTTTTGCGGTTAATAAAGCTAAATCTGATTTAAGCAATTCAAATCAGTAGCATGTTGCTACAGAGTAACCAGCCGGTGACTGCTAAAAGCTCTTTTTCGAACTCAAGAATTCTGTGATTATATACATTAATCAATGTGGATATTGGTGAGAGCGAAAGAAAGTAGAAGTGAAAGGTATGTGTATGGATGTGAAGTACGAAGTAAACGATCTACTGACAAAATGATAAGATAACTGTAACATCAACGTAAAACTCCACAAACGGAGCAAGTAAATAAATTTTTATACAAAATTAAACTCTAAATTTTTTTGTTTAAATACTTATTATTCACAAAAGGAAAATTAAAATAACACAGTTTTCGTGACCTGAAACCTTCCGTTTTTGATTAAAACGTTTCATGAGCTTGGTAGATGTTTTATTTTTGAGCTGTTTTGAATACATAAATGCATAAACGGTAGACACTAAAGTGACTCTTGAGAAGGAATATCACAAAAATTGGTCAAAACAGAAGTAATTTGTCTAAATTTTAAGTTAGGGATTCAAGGAATTTTGAGTGCTGCCTTCGAAAGATATATAATAAAACGTACGTGTAATGGAAGTTTCCAATATTAATATACTTAAGAATAAGTTTAATAGTTTTTTAATGTTTGCAGTTATTATTAAACTTGCGCTTCATATTAAAATTATTTATCTAGATAGCTTAAAGTCACTTTAAATTTTTATACAATTAATAACACAACACTCGAAGTGCTATTACAACTCATAAAATTACGGCTTGTTTCCAACGTTCATGCAAAAGTACACCTGGGTAATGATTATACCAATCATGATTCATTCACCTACTTTAACTTATCGTCTTCATCAAAACTTCCACGCTTTGACGTTTATGGAATGTGCGAAAGTCTTTCCACTTCTTAATAATACTCGCGAACGATTTAGATAACAAGGCGCCAAAGAAGACCCTGAGTCAACAAGGAAGGATGAATGTATGGCATCTTCAAAGGATTTGTTCCTCCTGAGCAAACACCAAACTTGCGAAATTCAAAGATGAGACTAGGACGTCAGTGAATTCTAGAGCAATCAGAATTTGTAGCGTTTTATAGAGGGTTGGCGCATATATATACAGTGAAGTGATTGACAATATATCAATCCAGTGTGATTTCTGATACTTGAATAAGCTTGAAGTGGCCAAGAAATTAACTATTCAGAATGAAGTTGTTCGCTTACATCTTTTTCCTCTTGATGGTTCTCATTCTTTTAGTGTGTCCTCTAGGTAATTTTTTTATTCTATTTTGCTTCTGCGTAAGCTAAGTATTTTAATTTTTTTTTAATTTTAATTTTTGTATAAAAGAACAATTACAAATTTAAAAAAAAATTTCTTTTACTTTAGAATAGGTTATCTGAATATTTTATTCAGAGATTTTGGATATAAGAAACACATGCATAGATTAAACTTTCGATTTTTCGCATCCAAAATGGTACACTACATTACACTGTCAGGATGTTCATCATAAAAGCAGCCCGAGAAATTTTGCTGTTTCAAAGAGGCATAAAATATTTTCTTTATCATTCTTACATCCTTATAAATGAATTATCAGAAGTCTTAATAAATAAATGAAATAAAATGTTTTTCAATTAAAATTATACTTAGCCTAAATCAACGACTTAAAAACAATGTACTTTCATCTAAATAATGTATATATTTAATTAATATTAACAATATTATTAATTATTTTAACTTAAAATAGCTCTAATTCATGTGTTATACTGTACCTAACCGATCATATTAAACAAGCGTTAACATCGTTACTGTAATTAATAAGATATGTTTCTGTAAAATATGTTGCCACGAAGAACTTTTTATACGTAATATAAGCAAAATCTTGTTTACCTATTGAATATAACTTAGAATGATGAACAAGGAGTGTTATTAATACTCTCGATTTTTTTAAATTAGAAAATTTAAAAAAGAAGTATCAACTCCATTATTTTTATTCCGTAAAATTTAGCAAATGATTTCTGCATGTAATTTTACTTTTAGCTATTTAATCCATCATTTTGTGAATTTCGAATTTTAAAATGTGAAATATTATATAACTAGTAAGTAGTTGTGTGATGTATAATGTGAAAAACAGGCTTACTGAATTAAAATCTTGAGAGCATTTTCAAAGAGCATTAAATTCCAAACAAGCAATAATTTACTGGCTATTTTTAGCTGTTAACTTTAATCTAATTACGCGGTTTTTGTTGTTATTTCTATATCTTAACATTTTCTTTGAATTCTGAGAGAGCATAATTTTTCACAGACACATACATCAATCATTTTCTCCTTTCAGCCAAAGGAAATGTTGGAAATTTCCATGCATAAGTGTCAAAAATTTGATTTCACTACCAGGAAAAAATGTTTTAAAAAAATCCCAAAAATGCTAGAGGAGCAAACAGTACGAATCAGAGCAAACCGTTATTTTGTAACGGTTTGCTCTGATAAGTAAGTTTAATGTTATACATGTAAATTCATTTATAAGGTATTTCTCCCGCCTTCTTAGCATGCCTTGGTGATGTAGTGGTCAGCACGCTTGCCGCGAATTTGGGAGATTCGTGGTTCGAGTCCCGGCGACGGCATTGTTCATTTTTCATGTTTCCTGCTTCAAAAGTGGTCCAGTGTCTCTGCCCATTATCTACTTAAACATATGCAATAATTTAACATGTTTAGGCGTAAACATAAAAAAATCACTCTAGCCGTTGTGGCAACAGTACAAAATCAATCTAGTCGTTGCCCATTCCAACAAGGCGTTCTTTAAAAATGATCAAATTATACAGCATTGTTATTTATCAACAGATAATTATGTAAACTTTTTATTATTTCTTTATGTACAACTCGAAGAAGAATAACGAGTTTTGATAATTATTTTAAAACTGTCATATCGACTTAGGAGTTGATGACGACAAAAATGGAAACTGTTGTGGAAATTCAAATAATATTAGAAGAAATCTCTAAGTGTTTTAAGGCAGGAAATTTAATCTAAAAGATATTTTAACTAAAATAATTTTGCTATTTTGTGAAATATATGTATTTAAAAGTAATGTGTTTCTATTTTTTTTTCTTTCAGCCATTCAAGCGGCTGACACCACCACAGCTGGAGCTACAGGTAAGCTTTCTGAACTACATATTTTTTTTCCTTCTATTTTGTTGTTTTCTTAAATCATTTGCTTATTTTAAGCTAATAAAAGTCTTTCTGCTTTATATATTACTATACAGAATGTAAACATATTTCTAATTTCTTTCTAATATGTTGTAGAAAAGCACATTCATTAGTATTATCCCATATAACGCATTAAATGTTTATTAATTGTTTTTGCATCTGCTATAAGGAATTAATACGAATTTTATCACATTAATTTTATTCAAATTTTTTATTTCTTATATTTTTATTATTTTTCATAAAATATAATAAGGGTGATTCAAAAATATGAAGGGAATCGAAATAAGCAGATTTTGTAAAGGAATATTTGTGTGGAAATAACGCATTGAGTTGACAAAGAATGCTGCTGAGTGGTAGATAATAGTGCTTGTATTGGGATATATCGTCATTGCCCAGGTGAATTTCGAGCGGTATGCATTGCTACCCAAAGATAACTCTAACATAGAGCTCGTCGAAATGCATTTTATTTACATATCTGCAGCTAAAACAAAGCAGCTACTCAAGTATATAAAACGATTTGCAGTTCTGTCCACAGCTCCTTAGATGCATTTCGGTAAATTCGCCAATTAAAATAAGCTTTACAGTTTCCAAGTCAGTAGTGATCGATTCATATTGATTACGTTTTGCTGCTGACACATATCTCTTAGATTTTCTATGCATGGACTGTGAGTGATTACCCGAAATGCATATTCTTATTAAAATATTCGTATTTCAATAGAGACATCATTAAAGTAAGTCTTTTCTTCTTGTTAAAAGCAAAATTATCTCGGAAGGTGCTTCAAATATGAAGGTAATAAGCTTTCAATCTCTATAGTTCAGCTTTCGCTACTGACAAGGCAGTTCAAATAACTCGGTTATATTTCTTCGACAGTATTATTTTCTTCATAATTACGAAACATGACTAAATCTACAAATCATTCAAGTTCTTTTGAATAAATTGTAGATTAACTTTATACGTAAAAAATAGGCTATTTTTTTACATTTATGTAATATCGTAAGTTATATTATAAGGACAAGACTTTACCCTTAATAACACTGGTCAATGAAAAATTTGTCAAAGAATAATTAACCATTTTCTATGCATTTCTGTAAGCTGGGGTTCTATATGTGTATTCAGAATTTTGCTGTTACCCGCAGTTTTGAGTCATGTCACATGATAATTCATAAACTCTTCTTAAATATGATATTAAGATAATTCCTTACCGAACGTGGGTTACGTCCGTAATACATTGCGCATACGTTAAAGTAAGTCGCATTCTGCAAAGTTAACTTTCTATGGAAAAAGCATGGTTAAATATAGTTCACATTAATTAAGTGTGCATAATTTTTTCAAACTTAAATGTTATTGTATTTAAATCGGTAAAATGAAACAAATGTTAATTCAAAGACTTTCTAATATTATTTAATAAGTACATGATAATTTTTTAGTCCAAAGGAGTTTTGTCCCTGAAGGACTATTATTTTCGTTTTGCGATTTTGCATTGAAAACTTTAAAAGGCTGTATCACTTTTCAAATCGTTGCCACCAAATACTATCGCCCTGTATTATATTTGAAGAAATTAAATAATGATGAATCTGTATAAATGTATGTATATTTCTCGCATTGGGGTAAAACAACGGTACATAGAGTTATCGAATTTTGAATTATGTAATTCTTCTACGAATATGGGCATGTGGAAGACCAAATTTGAAATTTTGAATTTGTTTTATTATCGATTTCATATTTTGTAACACTTCAACGAATTTTTTATTAACAAGCTCAACGATTTAAAAGCGAGCAATGGCAACACTGTACGGAAAAAGAACCTTTTTATCTCCAGCGCGTGGAACTGTGTATTGTAAATTCTAGAGATATGCTCATTTTAAAATTATTTTGCGATATTGCTCTTGAACTGAATTTTATGGTCTAAGTGCGAAGAACATGATATTTAATAGCTAAAGGTAACACATAAAATGTTAAAAAACGCCCCTTTGGACGTAATTTAAAATCTGAAATCTTTCAGTTGTTTTCCCCCTAAATAGCTGGTGATTTTTGCTTGGAACGACATCAGACGCAACTCATAAACATTTCGCGAAAAGCAGTGCAAAGTTTTTGAATACTCCCCATAAAGTGTTCTCTGCTTTCTTCATTTAGACAAATCTCCATTACAAAATCAGACAGCCGTTTTTAATATTCATTTAACTTCTTATACGTAAGGCTCTTGATCTTCTTCATCACCGCTGCTTTAACCGTCTGTTAGTGTTGTAAGATTATCCAATTTTACATTCGTCATTTCACGATTGTCATTCTTGAGTGATCCTTTAATTTAGTTTATTTAATAAAAGTATATTATTTGTTTTCGTTTGGAATTTAGTGTTGTACTCTCTGACATCCGCAAAATGAAACAACAGAAAAAGTTCTTACGTTCACAAACATTTATACCACACTAAAACTTCTAAAATTAATTTTAAAACGTCTAATCTTTAGTGAATTCAAATTCATTGAGACTAAGCTGGAGCTGCTTGAAACCAAGTGGATCTTATCTCACTAGTTGTAATTATAATAAACACAGTTTTTGCAAAGTTCATTTTGCAATTTAACTGATTTATTATATTTTTCAGCTATTTTAAGTTTCTTCTACAGTATTTTAAGATTCTCTATAAATGGCTTCTTCATTTCAAATCTTGATTCTGTTTTACTCCTTCTCTCTTCTTGCTAGATTATTCTTCGCGCCCATGTGCAGGCCCACCAGCGGCCGAGCGGTAAAGACGCTGAACACTGGTAGTTCAGTCCGAGATTCGAATCCCGCGAACAGGCTGCCTGCATGGGCGTTTTCGTGGTTTTCCCCATGTGTATACGAGCCAGTTTCCCTTAGAAAATCCTCCACGAAGGCATCCCTCCCTTTAGGCAGATAGCCCTCTAGTGCTTTGCTGTAATTAAATAATCCAATCCAATCGCGCCCATGCGCAATGCCGTTTTCTCTAAAAGTTAAAATAGAAATTATTTTTGAACCTCGTGATGCATAACAAATACTTCATCGAACGAGCGTTTTTAAATTCAGCTAAGGTCATGAAAACCTTTCTTAGGCAACGGCTACAAAATCATCATCACGGATGTGTATTGTTCAAACTTTCGAGAAACATATATATTACAGATATATTACCGAGAAACATATATTACAGATGATTATAAATTCAAAAAGATAATTTTTGTAAGACCATAAATAACAAAATATCTTCTGAATCTGAAATTCGATCAGCAGTTCAATCCAAACAAAAGCCCTGCTCGGCAGTCTTGCGAGACTGTTTACAAAAACTTCGCGAGGAAGTGTAAGCAGAAAACGATCATAAAAGTAACAGTCGTTCCTCCGCAAACAACTATAAAGAAAACAACCGATTCTGTACTAAGCATGTAACATCATAAACACAGATGTCATGATAACAGTCATAAACATCTTATATTAAGCAAACGGATTTTCTGGAAATCTCTATCCTTAAAAATCGAACAATCTGCACGTATACGAGTTCACCTTACAGCGAAAAGACGGTGGAACCTAGATTTTGAACTCTTGTAGTTTTGCATGTGCACACCGAAACCTGAACTTTGAAATTCGTTTTTTTTTTTTTCATTAGCCCAAAGGGCGCTAATCCAAAAGGGCTATTAATTTCGTTTTGGCATTTTGTGTTGATTCACTATAAATGTCGGTTCACTTTTAAAATTGTTGCCACCAAATATTATCCCCCTGTATTATATTTAAAGAAATTAAGTAATGAAGAATCTGCATTAATACATGTATGTTTCTCTCATTGTGATAAAACAACGGTACCTAGAGCCATCAAATTCTGAATAACGTAATTTTCCACTGAATATGGGCATCTGGAAGCCCTAATTTGGAATCTGAAATTTGTTTTATTCATATTTTGTAACACTTTAACGAATTTTTTATTAACAAACTCAAAGATTTCAAAGCGAGCAGTGGCAACAATGTACGAAAAAAAAAAAAAAAACATTTTTATCTCCAGCACGGGAGACTGTGTATCGGAAATTCTAAAGATATGCTCATTTTAAAAGTATTTTGCGATATTGCTGTTGAATTAAATTTTATGATTTAAGTGAGAAGAACGTGATATTTAATAAATAAAGGTAACGCACAAAAAGTTAAAAAAACGTCCCTTTGGGCGTAATATAAAATCTGAAAATGTTCAGACTTTATATATATTGTATTAATTCAAGAAATTTTGGATTTAAAAAGATCTTTCAAATAAATGCATATATTATTTCCTCACTCATATTGTTATACCGATGTCCACGTCTTTTAAGACCTCGGACTCGAAAGATTAAAAAACTACATTTGAAAATTACATAGACTAAAAGTCTATATAACAAAATCACTGGTTTATGAGAAGTTTGAACTCAAGTTTTTTAGTGAGTAAAATATTTTATTATGCATTTTTTATTTTAGTAGCTACGGTATAATTTTTTTTTTTTTACTTTAACCAGCTGTTTGAGCAGCCAGCCTTCAGTCTGGCATGCGTAACTTGTGAAATTGAATGCATGCTTGACGGAATGCTGGCCGCATATTCGGCTAAATATATAAAAAATGTATTGCATCTCTAACTATCTTTAACTAATCATTTAAATGCTTTATTAATGAAAAATATTGATTTAAATTATAAAGAATGCGTTTGTTGCTTTTCAATAGTTCAGTTTTTTAGATAGTTATAAATTCATTAATTCTGTAAATACGTTACCCTCAAATATTTTGACAAATGATAGGCCTGAAAGGACAAGTATACCCCCAGGCGTATGTAGCAAACCGTCATGTTCCTCGCTGTGGCAACGGCTATGGCATGATATCATGTTTCTCTTTGTGGCAACATTTCTAATAGCGAATGGATGACATATAATCGCCCAACATAATGCAGTGTAATAAATGAGTGTACCGCAACCCTTCTGGCCGATAATAATCGGCCAACGCAGCACACCCAACACGGCCTAACGTAATGTAACTGTTTAAAATTTTTGGAAAGACTTCATTTAGAATATTTTAAATTTCGAAATACTGCATGATCTTTTGAGATCACACTTCGGGATGCAGTGTAGCATTTAATTTCGCTCTTCGCCTTCCTGCCTAGAATTTCTTCCTTGCCATTCTCGAATTTATCTGCAATGAACTCTTTCAAAAGGAAATTTCCGATTTTCAGAGAGATATTTCCAGTTCGTTTATTGATTTTTTCTAGATCCATAGCAGAGCTGTTTTTCAAATACAGCAGAAAATTGTACACCTCTATCTTTTAGATAATTTCTTTCCTCAATGTATATACAAGATGTATACCAACAGGAATTTTAACTAGTTTCACAGATATACCTAGCGGAATAGGAATATTCTGATTCATCCACTGTTAGATTGATATATTTTTGCATCTTGCGATAAAAGTGAGTAAAACACGTTATTTAATAAATAAAAGTAGCACACAAAACGTTCAAAAAACCTCCTTTGGAAGTAATATAAAATCTGAAAGCTTTGAGACTTTTTTATTTATTTATTTTTTTTTACAAATTTATTTTATTTTAGTTTTATATATTTATTTTTTACGAGACATTTGTTCCAAAGTTAATTCTGGTACATACGTTTACGAACAGATGGCGCCACTAAAAACTCGTTCCGTAGTTTTGTTTAACATCGAGAATTAAGTATGTTATTACTAAAACATAGCCTCGTCATTGAAATAAAAATATTTCTTTCGCTCATTCAAGATACAGAGCAATCGTGAAACCAAAAGACAAAATTTACTTTGCTGATGCATGGGAAAAAGAAACTCGAAGTTGATTCATCTTATTATATTATATCTACATTACAACATAATACAATTATACTAAAATATATACATTATAACAATTTCCAGGATTTTTTCTGTCCCTTAAAGTTTGAAAACATCTCAATCCGTTCACGTCACGAGGTCGAAAGGGAAAAATCCTTTTTTTTTCTTTTCTACTTCGATGACAGCCAACGCCATTTGTACCTCGTACATCAAATGAAGAGGAGATTTTTTTTTTTTTAATGTTTGTAAGATATTAATCAGTTTCACAACACTCCCACCTTTTTGATTTTCAGAAGCAAAATCAAAAATCAAATAATGGTATCCTTAGTACAGGAATACACTTCTAGAGGGTACAGTTTATGTACAGGGCGAATCAATATGCCATTTCTAGTTTTCACTTTTACAACTCTTACACGTCCTTGTACAAAGTTCTGCTTGTACAAGGACCCTTTGTAAAGTTGTACAAACTTTGTACTGGCTTGTACAAAGTTCCTGGACACAATCGATTGACCAGTTCACTCTTTTAAAGTTCTCACAAACTATTAGCACGATGTCTCCGACTTTCAATTCAGCGGCCGAGCGGTAAAAGTCGCTGAACACTGGTAGTTCGGTCCGAGGTTCGAATCCCGCGAACGGGCTGGCTGCATGGGCGTTTTCGTGGTTTTCCCCATGTGTAACGTGTATACGAGCCAGTTTTCCCTTAGAAAGTCCTCCACGAAGGCATCCCTTCTCTTAGGCAGATAGCCCTCGAGGCTTTGCCATAATCACACACACACACATTTCCGACTTTCAATTCACAGTCTTTTTGTCCCTGCTTTTGTACTAACTGTCCAAGATACTCCTTGCGGAAACGGCTTCGAAATTGTTCTCGAAGCTCCTGGCAGAAACGCTGATGAGCCAAGAGTTTATTTCGATCTAAAGTATCCAAATCTGCTGTGCCTGAATCCTTAATGTCCTGTAAGAACATGGAAGGCGTTAATGGTAGAAGATAATCAGAGTCATTTGACACATAAATAAGTGGTCGGCAGTTTATTACGGCTTCCACATTACAGATGATGGTGAGTAACTCTTCGTAATTGACTGCAGCTTGTCCTAAGACTCTCACAATCAAATTCTTGGTTGTGCAGATTAGACGCTCCCACCATCCGCCCCATCAAGCAGCAGTGGGCGGAATGAACTTCCAAGTGATGGGATGCTAAGTTTCCTGAGCAGTTACCTTTATCCAGTCGGCTTTTTTCAGCAATGCAGATGTACCGACAAAATTTATGCCGTTGTGTGAGTAAACTACAGATGGCCGATCTCTTCTGGCTATGAACCTACGAAACGCTTAAATGAAGCATTCGGTACTTATGGATGTCACTAGCTCCAAATGTACACATTGATCCGCAGCACATGTAAACAGTACTACCCAGGCTTTGTTTTTATTTTTGAGAATCAGAGGGCTGTTTCTAGTAAAACTTTCCATTGAAATATTCAAAAATTATTTTGTTTATTTATTTAAATAAATTGTATATAAAATACTTATTTGTGTGTTCAAAGTGTATTGTTTTAATAAAATTCCTAATTTGTTTTTAATTTTCTTTCAGATGCTGCTGCAGGTGAGAATATGGATCTTTTGTACTATATTTGTTATATTTCATACTTAAATGCATATTTAAATATTTTGAGACTTTAATGTAATATAAACTGCTTAACATTTCTTCTTAGTTATCATTTTCATGATTTGCCTAAACTTGTATTTGATAAGCTTTATTTTAGCACAATATTAAAATGTTTTCTTTTCTTTTTTTATTTCAGATGCTTCAAGTGAGTATGCTATTTGTATACATCTTTTCCTTTTGTTATCGTATTTATTTCTAGTATTTATTATTCTGCTTTGAAGAAAGTACTTTTAAGTAGATTTAAAAATTAGTATTATAACTGAATGCAGAAGAGTTCCAACTATTCATTGTAGCTGAGACCACACCCTACCCGGATAATTTAGTTGCGATTATTTTTTTTTTACTAAAGCGTAATTAATATTGTACGATGATAAGTGACAACTTGTTTTTAAAAAATTTGCAAATGTTTTAATCATTTTAAATTAGACTCATTTTTCGGTATTAGTGTATTAGTAATAGTAGTACGCAGTTAATGAGAAAATTGCAGCTTTTAAATACAGAAATACCTTTTACAGCGTAGTATGCATCTAGAACTTATTTAAAATAATTAATTGCGTAATGAAGTTGTAGTAACGGAGAATTTTTATATGTTTATAGATTTTTAGTTATTTACCATAATATATTATTATCTATTAATAGTTTGTTACTTCGTTTCATATATAAAATTCTGTTTATTCTTTCCATTTCAGGTACTACTAAAGGTGAATATTCGAATACTTCACATGAGATTTGTATATGTTATTTTTATTCAAAAATGTTTTAGTATGCATTATTTTATAGTAATAATTATCTAATGCAATAATAATAAAAGAGAAATTAGGTATGTCTGTACTCTATTTAAATAATATAATATATTAATGTCTGTTTCTAGTCTGCTACTATATATTTAAAACGTTATTTATTATTTCCATTTCAGGAACTACAGGTGAATATTTGAGTACTCCATATAGGATTTGTATACATTATTTTCAATAATTAATTTAGTATACATAATTTTATAGCATTAATTTAATTTGTGAGGTGCATCATCTATATCTTTAGCTGTATATCTTTTTAATATTTACTTTTGTAGCTTGTTAATTCATTCATATCTAAAATGCTGTTTCATATTTCTATTTCAGGGACTACAGGTGAATATTTGACAACTTCAAATATGATTTGTATACATTATTTTCATTAAGATATGTTTTGGCATAAATAATTTTTATAATGTTAATTTCATGTCAATAATATCATCTATATCATTGTCAGTAGTTTACTTAAATTTTTATTTTATGTCTTCGTCAAACTTACTTTTATTAACTACAAGATTTTTTAATTTTATTTTATGTTTAAAATCAAATAATTTTTTGCTACTAGATAAATAATGTGACATGACTTATTTTTGTGCGAAGGGTAAGGATCGAGATCAATTTCAAAAATCTAATTGAAAAAGAACTTTGCAGACGATGTATGATATTTCGTAAAACAAAAACAGAGGAAACATGTAGGGATAGAAGAGGAGAATTGTATTACAATACCATCCTTTTTCTCTACCACAAAAAATTTTATAGTTTAGAAAATGTAAAGAATTTTGATATCACATGCACCATATATTGCAAAAGGTTATTTCATTAAAGCCATCCTTTAGATAAAATAACGCACTTCTAAGAAACTGGTCTCGTCTATGGTGTTATTTGCTTTATTTTTCTGATATTAATGCCATAGGATATACTTGAGTATAGAAGCACTATGTTAATAGCTAAGATGAAGATTTTAATCTCTATTTCGTATTTCCAAGTTATATGAGATGCAGCAATATTTACTCTAGCAATATGGGTTTGATCTTATAATAGATAACAATTATAATTTGAAAGATTTCTATTTTGGAGTAGAAAAGATATTTCTAAATATCTCCCATATAATCTTAGCCTTCGATTCTCAAAAATTATAGACCAAAGATTTCGCATAAACATTCTACTTGAAACTCTTATTTAAAAAATTTTTTAAAGTTAAATTTATGATGTCACAATGTATAGGATGCTGATCTAAAAAAAAAAAAAACCTTATATCCAATAATAGTTTTGGAATACTGAAGGGTTGGATATAAGTTGAAAGCAAATGTTAAAAAATTTTTTGCTGTAGCAGAATTAAGAAAGAAAAGCAAATCATTTCTTACTCCTTCTTGAAATGTTTACAATATTATATTGTACACAAGTTGTAATGACAAAAGCTTTTGCGTCTTTAATGTCAAATGTTAAATAATATAATTTTATCGTTACATTTTATTAACTAAGAAAGAAGAAAGGAGCCTAAAATATCATATGCATATTTCATAGATTTAACACTTATCTCACGCGACCAAATTATCTGAATTACCTTCTTATCCGTAAATAAACTTTGTTTCGAAATCTATCACTATTTTTTCTTCCAATAACATTTATCTGTTCTTTCAACAACAGCCAATACTGTTTATTTCATCATTAGAATTTTTAAATATTGTTGCCATATTTGCCTTAAATTCTTCCATTGCTGATGATGGACAGTTTCTTTTTTTGTTTTGTTTTGTTTTGTTTTTGTTTTTGTTCTGCAAGTTTTAACATTTCGTTTGAAAAGCTTTCGATATATTGAGTTAGAGTCAAATAGTTGTTCAGTTACTATTTCATAAAACAATTTTTCCAAGTACCTCGTTTTAAGATCAAAATTTTGGCAAGTTCACAGAAGATGGGACAAACTGTCGCCTAGGAGTTGAAGGCACGAAATTGCTTGTTTCTTCACAGCCGTCAGATTTACTATGACTAGACATGAGAACTGAAAGGTCCTAGCTCGAACGATGAAAAGCAAATAATACCATTATGCTTCTTTTCCAAACTTCATAAGTGGCTTCTAGTTATGTTTTGGCATTCATCATGTTCTTACAATTTGCATATCAATATCAGATTTCAAGAAGATGGAATACGATTCAACACATCTGTAAATAATATGTTTGTTATCTTACAATCCAGTTACGGCAGACTGTATACCACTTTATGCTATTCTAGAATTCTTTTGTGTGATTGTAGTCTCAAATGAAAGCCCTCAGACATCAGTTTAAGCTTTATGTTAGCCTCCAAGCAGCTTTCGAAATATCTCCTTCAATATCGGTATAATCCGTGTCATTGAATCTTAATACTGGGAAAATTAATTTTTTAAAGTGTTAATTTCAGCACCCTTTATCACATTTTATTAAGCTTATTATTTTATATTTTAGCTGCTGTTGTTTTTAATCTCATCTATTTAACAGAAAACAAATTTACTGGCGCTGAAATTAAGATAGAAATTTTCTAAATTATCTTGCTTCAAAACTGTATAGTTTTATGACACTATATTGGAAATCGCATCTATCTCTTCATTTTTTTTGAACCTGAGCTAACAGTATACAGGTAATTCAAGAAGAGTCAGATACTTATAGCTGTATAGTATGAAATCAGGTACTGAAAACATACAAATGTAATTAATTAATAAGTAGTTTTGAATATTGTGATTTTTATTTCTTACTTATATTATAATTAATAAGTAAAGAAAGCTTATTTTTTATTTATTAATATGGTTTATTTAACTTTTATCCAAAACGTATTTTTCGACCGAGATTACAAAATACGCTTTATGTTTTTCTTTAAGCTTCCTCGAGTAGGTGCTTTAATTTTTCAATCTGTATGCGTACATAACCATATTCTGGAGGAAATTTGGGTCGATTAATTTTTCTGATAGTTAAATATTTTCTCCTCATATTACCTAAATTAAAATTATACTATAACACTACATTGTTAGAACTTTCATTGCATTAAAATAAATACCTGTGGAGCTATGAAATATTAAACATTAGAATCCTGACATCATAATTAAAATATTACATTTAATGATGCGTTTCTCATAAATTCAATAGATAATTATTTGGTGCTGACCTATTAGAATATATTTTTCATGATATTTTAAAAAATTTACACAAAGCGTCTACAAAATTTTAGGACAAGTCGGAAATTGAAGAAACTAACATACCTGCTTCTAAGCCTCCAATGAACAATTCTTATAAATCTGTCAACTCTTGGCATTTTCATACATGGCTAAATTTTTTTCGAAGAACTTTTGAAATTCTATTTTTTAGTTATAAAGTCTCTTTAATGTTATTAAAATAATAACTTATGAGATGAGAAATACGTAGATCTCTATGAAAAGAAAACAAGTTGTGACAATTTCAGTGCTAAAAACTTCTTGAGGAAAATGAAATTATGCAGTGGGTGACAGAATTCATTGTTGAACGACCCAGTTATTCGATTGAGATTTTTCAGGACTTATTGCTCTGAAATCTCTTCAAAACACTGTCCACTACGTCTTTATAAAATACAAAGTTCATTGATTATCCATCATTAACAAATTCCTTGTATTTTATCGCTTTTCAATCAAAAAGAAGTCACCAAATTTGTCTTCGCTTGAAACTTCTGAGACAGAAGTGTTTTAGGCATCTACCAATTTTTTAAAGATTTAGGATTAATGACTGTCCCTTGGATCAAATGATATCATACACAAACTCGATCTTCTTTCTGTTCTAGAATCAATGCGTGAGGAACGAAATGGAGGTTTTCATGATCTTCCATGAAATCTTATGAGCAGCTTCTTTATTGTATGTTAACTGTCAATGAGACAACTTTCAGCAGAAATCGTTGCCCGTTTTTGATATTCTTAACCGTCACAGGCTAAGAACGATGCTGCCTCTCATATTCCTCATCAACATAAAGAAATTGGAGAGGCCATTCAGAAATTGTCCCTACGAATGAAGAACAAATTAGATCGTGTTTAATATCTGATCCTCGTATGCTTTGCACAACATTTCAAATGCTTCTATTGCTGTATTTCCTGCTTGGCAGGAAAATTTTATTACTGCTCTTTGCTGAGCTTTCGAATCCATATTTGCAGATGTTCACTGGACCAAAGCAAACGATTAACTGCTAAAAATTTTCAGTACATACGCAGACGATATTTTAGGAAACGTGAGTTGAAATATCATAGTAACAAATGCTGTCAGTTATCATTTCGCAAGCTTATTGGAATTTGTTAAAAAATAATTCTAAAATTTTGTAGACACATTGTGTGTATTTTAATAAGTTTTGTCATTTTTAGCTCATTGTTGAAGAACTGTTTTGCCATTTGCGATTACATAATATAAAAATTCACATTTTCTTAAAATTGCTATTCTCAGTCTTTGATAGATAGTTTTTAAATAGTTACAGATTTTAAAATTATTATTAAATGTTATCTTTAATACTTTTTTAATAATTTTAATGGCTTAAGTTGTTCTTTGAAAGAAAGTTATGTCACTAAAATTTAAAAATTTTGTTTTCTTATCATATTTTGGAAACTAGAGGTGAGTAATTAAATAAATATTTATTATTTTTATTATTTTTAAGGTCATTTTTGCATGCAACTCCATCTTTAACTTGGGGTTAATTATTTCAAATATGTCATTAACTGTATTTTGAATTTTTCAAAATACTTTCCTATTATCGAAAATATTCTAGATATGTAACGTGAAAATTAACATTCATAATATAGGATATAATTCTTCAAAATACTTTCCTATTATCAAAAATATTCTGGATATGTAACGTGAAATTAACATTCATAATATAGGATATAAAAAGATACTATAAAGATATTCAGTGGTATTCAGGATTTTTGCTTCATATTTTATGAACCTACATTATATAAAACTATATGCTCTTCTTAAAGCGAAACAAACAAAAAAATAGCTATTTTCGCAAAGCAAACAAGTCTGTTTGAAATTTTTACCGATTCAGTACTCTTGTTAATGCTGGTGGAATATAATCCGAAAAATTATATTATCTTTATTAATTCTAAATTTCATTCATTATCAGGAAGTGAAAACTGATTAAACAGACACTTAACTTGAGTTGCTCAAGTAAGAGACATGAGAATATGAAAGTCTTTCGTAATTTACATCATTTTTATTAGTTATAAATGGATTTCTATACATTTCTCCATTTACATTTTGGGACTATTTAGTTTTTTTCATTTTAGGATTCTTAGAATATATACGAATGTTATTTACCACGCCTTGAGCATTTCTTAAATACTGCAGTTTCAGAATTCGAACGCTGTTATATTTAAATATTTAAAATAGTTTTCTGTTTAGAATTATTCTCGTATTAGGGTTCAAAATTTTGCCTAGTTCTCAAGCATTGCCGCCAACGAATTTCTGAAAAATACATATTTTTTCCTAGTGATTTTCTCTTAATTTTCCTGGCTGCCTTCAAATTTCGAATTTTATCTTCTTCTATAAATTGATCAAATGTTTTTAAATACCTGGAAGTTTTGTATTGTTTTTAGCAAGCAAATTTTCTGACACACACAAAAAAAGAGAAAAGAAAGGAAAAGAAACTGTTTCATTTGAGGATAATATTTGTTGCAAGTCCCTGAACACAGTTCCAGTTAAATAAATAGGCAGCTAGATCTTTCACAATTAAATCTTCGCTTTATTAAATAAATGCCCAGTTCCCTGCATGGTGTTAATTAACGATGAAACAATATCGTAACATATTTTCTCTACTATTTGTTTCACCTTTCAAACATATTTTAAATACAAGACTTTATGTTCTTGAATTTCTGAAGAACTAATCTTGAACTAGCAGGCTCATTATAACTTCTTAATTTGAAATTGCGTCAGGTGTTAAGCTAAAATCTGCGTACTAAGATAGATCGCATTCATTTTTAAAATTTGCATTGTAAACTTCTTACTTTAGTTTAGTACTCACTCGGGAATTGCATTATATGATAACATTATAAGAAGAACGTAGAGAAATCGTACATCAGAGACTAGTTTTTTTGTATAATGCATATCAAATTTTTGGACGTCATAGAACTAGTCACTACCTCTTATTTCACGACGAATTCGCATACTTGAATTAGAAAGTATTTATAAAAAATTCTTAAAAATCCTTTAAACGAAATGCTAACTCAAAAATACACTGAGCGCTTTTCGAATTTTTTCCTTTGTAAAGCTTAAATTCTAAAATAAATCCAATCAGTGCTTTTAACTGTCATTATTTTAGTACTGTGTTTATTTGGTTGCAACATTACATGGATACTGTTATACTTTAAAGAACTCGGTGCACTTTAAATATAATTTGTGCCTCAGAATGTTTTCCCTCTATTTAGGCAATACTTATTTAAAAGATATGATTCGGTTACATAATTGCTTTTTTAGTTTTACATTCTTATAAGTTTCTGTTAACCAAAAATACTCTTTATTATTTTGCAGCAGCTGCAGATGCAGCAACGACTGAAGCACCTAGTAAGAGTGAGTATAATTTTCTTTTGTCGTAGATTATTTCTGTGTCTTATGTATCTCAGTACTCCGATATTACGATATTTTATACCGCTTGCTAGTGAAATTTCTGTACCGTGAAGTAAAGGCGCAATAAAACTTAAATCTCTATGAAAGGTAGAACGTGTTAGGGTATGCAAATGATTAACATTTCATGGCATGGGTACTGTACAGATATGAGTAATGGTACCTCAAAGTAATAAAAAGATAAACTGAAATGAGTTTCTCTTTTAAAAATCGCGTGTCTCGCTGTTTTTTTTTTTTTCACTGGAGATTACGGTTTTTTTTTTTTTTTTTTTTTTTTTGTTTTGACTCGCATTAGCACATCTCAGAATTCGATAGAGAGCAATTCGAGCTAATCCGGAATGCGAATTATCACAAAAACCAACTCCTGCCGTTAATCGAGATCTGATGACCGTGATAAGAAGTTGCGATTTAAGGGCCCAGAACGATGATGCCCGAGACTATGGAGGAGGAACAGTGCAAGAAAACACACAGTGCAAGAAAAATATTTCAATATTTAATTTCATTGTTAAATTCTTAACTTGATTTCTTCAGCATTTTTTATATTTCCTTCTTTCTTGCAGAAATCGTCGAAACTATGTCATATTAATCAAAAATGAGGTAAACTCGTGTAAGCCTACTTACTATCGCTACTCGGCCTTTTATCTAAGATCAAAGTGTAGTAAGCCTACTTACTGTCACAGTGATTTGATTTCAAAACATAGTGGCGCCATCTAGTATTGACAAACTCAGTATCAGTTTCATTTCTTCCAGTATTTAATATTGCGTAAAATCGATCGATATAGAAAAAAAATTGATCTTTTACTTCACAGGCATTTACTAGAATTAAAGAAATTCTTCATTTTTCATAAGCCTCTGTCAATTGCCTCACAGAGAAGTGGGAAGTCAGTTGTCTCCGTTAAGCTCAGATAAACCGCAATCTGAACGGTCCTTAAACTGCTCAAAAGCCGTACTGAAGTCCATTTTTTTTAAATTAAGGATAATTTTGATTATTTCAAAAATAGATGCAACTCACAGAGTTTCTTCCGCAGTCATGCCTTTGTCCTTTACTACTCAACATACTCAAAATTTATTCTTTTTCCCCATAAGTACAAAAGTAGGCATCTATAGCAATAATACTCGCTAATTTTCAAAGCCTGTGGTAAAACCGTAATTTGCTGTAAGCATGCCATTCAAGTTTAGATTCACTTGAAAAATAAAGTTTAGAAGAGTGAGAATATTTTTTAAGCCTTAAATATTTATTTCATTGTTAATTAATTGGAGCAACACATCAGATGCCTATATACTCATGTCTTCGTGGGGGAGTTTCATCGCAACTTTCATTATGGTTGATATTTTCGATTCCTGAACAGTATATCTCGTCAGGACAGTTCTTTTAGGTATTTTTATATAACTTCCATACTTGTTTTCAACATATTACTTATTTTTTGACATAAAAATAATATAACCAGCTTTTAAGAAATAAGGCTTACGCAACGCTTATCATAGAACACTCCAAGTAACAACTTTTTTAACTCAACTCGTTGTTGCCACACAGCGAATCTGAATAACTATGAAAAAACATTACGTCATGTTGCCAATTAGAAAATCTTAATAATTATATAAAAACATTAAATTATGTTTCACTAAAAGTTGTTTCATAATTCAAATATACTTGCGATAAATTTAATGGTTCATAGTTCGTGTAATATATGGACTAATCTTCTGATCTGTGAGTGAGTTTTCTGATGAAATTAATGCGACGTCTAAGAATAATCAGTGTTCTAGTGTTTGCACATTGTCATATAATCGATCCTTTGATCAATTCATCTTTGTCGGTTCGTTTCTATCCACTTATGAATGTTATTAGTCAACTCTATTTGCAGGAAATAAACTGGGACACTTATGCAGGTTTAAGAATAACATGAGCTATATATTTTTAAATTTTGTAAATACACATTAACGTTTCACAACGTATTGCTTTTATTCACATTTACATCAAACGCCCAAGTAATACATTGCATCTCTCAGTTCCTAACAAAAGAAAAGAAAAAGACAAACTCTCCTCTCGGAATACAGCCAAACTAATTTCAAATTTTTTTTCACGAGCATGCCGTTCTTCTCGCATCAAGCACGTTTCTTCTTCTCGTTGCCAGATTTTCCCCTCTCCTTTCAGATAAACTGTTTTTTTCACACGAGCATGCCGTCCTTTTCGCATCAAGCACGCTTCTTCTTTTCGTTGCCAGATTTTCTTCTCTCTCCTTTCAGCTATAAGTCGTTGGCTTTCAGCTATAAGTCTGTTCTTCTGGCAGGTTTGGTCGGTAGCATAGAGTATGTGCATGACACACATGTTAAAAATTTAATATTCGAGCTCTGATATTGATAAATATAAAAATAATATTATCGCCTAGAATTTTTAAGAACAAATAATATTAGATTCAATGATCTTGATACTGGGATAAATTTGAAAGTATTTTCAAGAAGAAGAGAATCCAAATATACTCTAAATCAGAAACGACTAAACTTCATTTCACTCGGAGTTGCATCTTAGAATTCAGAAATTTCAAGAAATGCATCTACCCATTTACAACTTTTAAAAGTAATAAAACAGTTAAATAGATAATAATAAATATAATTAGTAACACTTTAAATAAATTGCCAATGAATTCACATTTTGTTTTATGATTTTGATAAGCTTATGTAAATAATTATTAGTCCAAAGGGATTTGAATCCCGAAGGACTATTAGTTTCGTTTTGGCATTTTGCGTCGGACTCATAAATGTCGGTTCACTTTTCAAACTGTTGCCACAAAATGTTAGAGTCCTGCATTATATTTGAAGAAATTAAATAATGAAAATCTGCATAAATGTATGTATATTTCTCGCATTGTGATAAAACAACGGTACATAGAGTCATCGAATTTTGAATAACGTAATCCTCCAACGAATATGAGCATGTGGAAGACCAAATTTGAAATTTGAAATTTGTTTTATGATCGATTTCCTATTTTTTAAAACTTTGACGAATTTTTGATTAACAAACTCAAGGATTTCAAAGCGAGCAATGGCAACGTTGTGCAGAAAAAAACATTTTTATCTCCAGCGCGTGAGTCTCTGTATCGGAAATTCTAAAGATATGCTCGTTTTAAAACTATTTTGCGATATTGCTGTTGCACTGGATCTTATGGTTTAAGTGCGAGGAACATGATATTAATAAAGAAAGGTAACACACAAAATGTTTTAAAAAACGCCCCTTTGGACGTAATTTAAAATCTGAAAACATTTCAGATTTTTTTTTTTTTTTTTTTTTTTTTTTTTTGTTTTTACTCTGTATTGAGAGAAAAATATGCTCTTAAGACATATAAATTTAAATTTTGAGTGGTGGATAAACTTTTTCCTTCAAACTTAAAAATCTAAGCCTTTATTATTATTATTATTATTATTATTATACCTCTTATCGTATCATTTAAACAAGAGTGAATAAATCTCTTTTGTTTTCTAGAGAGATCTGAGATAGGTACCTTTTTTTCGAAACAATTTTAAGAAACAAGGACTTTATGGGACTAAAAGGGGATTATATTTAAAATCTACTCATTTTTGCCTAATTTTAAATCATTATGAGTTCTTATTATTTCATTAAAATTGTCAGTTAATCTGTGCTATAGCCACAAGTTCTACATATTTTTACAAAACAACGAACATTTATGCATTCTTTTTTCTTTAACAGAAGCAGATTAGAAGAACTCCTTGTTTTAGCGACTAATCCGGTGAAAGCAAGACTTAACATTACTGGAGTGGAGGGTTTTGGTGGCGTTGAATCTTAACAGAGAAAGATGTTTGGGCGGTTGCGGGAAAGAATATTCTGTATATCTCCCAATTCTTAATTTCCCGCCTCTGCAAAATAAACCTATTTTTTGTATTGAAATCCATGTGTCTTATTTATCGGGACAGAAATGCATTTCCAAACCTCTTTCCTTCAAATGTCCTTCTCTAACAAGTACAAGCAAAAACACTTCGTTTCTTAGTTTTGAATATCAATTTTCTGTTTTTTATTCTAGTAATAAATTTCCAAGTATTAAACATTTTGATCAAGACACAGCATACAGGTTGTCACACAAGCCAATAAATTTGCTTCTTGAGGCTCGAAAGTGCTTAAAAATATTACTGCAAGACGGTAATATTTCTAGAATCTAACATAATTAATGAAAATTAAATTTTCTGAATACCTAACAGATTAATAATTCGCGAAATAGACAAAATAATTATAAATTTTCAAGGCAATAAAATTAGGAACTATCACTATGCCTAGATTTTTCAAAAAGCATTTAACTCAATCTGATTGCTAGTAGTCCTCAATGCACTCAAAAATACGAAGTGCTTTAAAGGTAATTCCTCGTATTTCAAAAACAAAAATCGTGTAATCATGCATAATAACTGCAAGACAGAAAAAAATTAAGCAAGCTACTCTTTAGAAATTTTATACTTAGCGCTGAGCTACGGACACTACGTTTAAAAATATCTTTTTGCAAATATGGTCAGATTACTCAATTGTATTACATTTTTAGGTCATATTAATTTCTAAGGGGGGGGCCAAGACGTGATATTTTGCTACCAAGTAACATGCCAGAGACCTACTTGAAAAGAAAGGAACCAGAAATACTAAGGATTTTGAAAAAACTCTATGCAAATCAAAAATTAGAAATCTTAGGAAAAAAAATCTATAGCACTGGTATTCCATAAACCTCGTGAAAACAAACAAGTTGTTTAAGTGTTTAAATAGAAAGCAAAAACATAAACACTTTTTTGCGATTGAAATGCCTAGGAATAATACTTGATGAAAATATAAAGTTATAATCACATTTAGAAGAAATTAAAGGAAAGAAAAATCAAGATAATGACAACCTTAAGGAAGACCTAAGGCTATAACTGTGTCCTTAATGCCCAAATGCAGGAGATTTTGTATCAAACATTTCAGATATAAAAACGAACGTTAATTTACCCAACTGGAAAGTGTAGAGAAGAAGCGAAATAATAAAAGGTAGAAATTTTAAACAATAATATTTGTTTTAAAATCTTACAAAGTGAATTAATTTTTTTGGAAAAAATTGTTTGAAACTCAATTATCTAAGATTAGAAGTAGTTTAAGAGTCTTATAAAATAATTTCTAAACTTTTTAAACGCTCTTAATAACTTTTCTGAAGACATAAGAAATACATGAATTCATGCTTTTTCATTTTTTTGTTTAAATTATTATTAATCCAATGGGCCTTCACCCAGAAGGGCTATTAATTTCGTTTTAGCATTTTGCTTTGATTCACTTTTCCAACTGTTGCCACTAAATATTACAGCCCTGTATTATATTTAAATAAATTAAATAATAAAGAATCTGTATAAATGTATGCATGTTTCTCGCATTGTGGTTGTTAAGAACAGAGTCTTTAAAATTTTCCGCATAATTATCGTTTGTGACAAGCACTCTGCAACTCAACGTTACACTAACAGCGCGCTTAGAACGAGCGGCGAAAATAGATGTATTCTATGACATGTAAAAGATATATTCTGAGATATACAAAATGTTATTTTAAAAGATATTACAGTGTTCATTTACGTGTGGCCTCTTAATTGAGTTACACTAGTTTTCTGAATGCTCGTCAAACATCGGAAATACAGTCATGCTGCAAAGAAAAGGCTAGCTGAATTTTGATATTTCACTTGAAATAAAAACGTTTAAAGAAAATAAAAATATTAGGTTAATTTTGTAACAGTGATAAAACAACGGTACCAAGAGCAATCAAATTTTGAATAATATAATCCTCCACTGAATATGTCCTAATTTGGAATTTGTTTTATTATCTATTTCATATTTTGTCAAACATTAAAGAATTTTTGATAAACAAACTCAACGATTTCAAAACGAGGAATAGCAACACTGAACGAAAAAAAAAAAAAAAAAAAAAAAAAAAAAAGACATTTTTATCTCCAGCGCGCAAGACCGTATATCTGAAATTCTAAAAATATGCTCATTTTAAAATTATTTTGCGATATTACTGTTGAATTGAATTTTATGTAAAAAAAAAAAAAAAAATGTCCCTTTGGTCATACTGTAAAATCTGAAAGCTTTCAATTTTTTTTTGGGGGGGGGATATTAGTATTACTGACAGATTTTGTAACTTAAACATTAATACGTGTTCCTAGCTTCCTTACTGTGGCATCGCTATCAGCATAGTATAATGCTTCTGCTTGCGTTTCACTTTTCTTCAAAATCGTGAAGTTTTCTTTGGCTTTTATTTTTTCAAATGGAAATCTGAAGCATTTATCGGAAATATCTGTCATTTAGCTTCTCATCACGGAATTCATTACCAAAAGTGCACCACAGAGGTAATACTGATATTACGCTCACGAAACAACGGGGAAAGACCAGGCGCAATCAGCTGAAGTTTCAAACTTACAAAACCAGTTATCAAGCTATACTACCCACAATGCAATCCAAAGCGATGAAGACTTCTTAATTAAAAATATATTCTTGTCTCGAAATTAAAAAACCACATACACTTCAACAGTGCTGAGTAGCAGGGAAAAAATCATAAGGACAAATACCGATAATAGACAATAATGATAAATGTACACAATAATTATTGCTACAGAGGAAACGGCCATCACAAATTCGAGACTAACAATGTGTATAACGAGGCTCACTTGTGTATAATAAGGCTCGCTCAACGTGTATACAATAATTATTGCTATAGAGGAAACGGCCATCACAAATTCGAGACTAACAACGTGTATAACGAGGCTCACTTGTGTATAATAAGGCTCTCTCAACGTGTATAATAAGACTCACTTAGCGTGTATAATAAGACACAGACATGGTGGAAAAAATTGACATCACATCAGTGAATTGTGCCGTTGTTCCCTTCTACTTTTTATTTTAAAAAACTCTTCTTACAAAATTCACTGTGATGCCGTATGAAAATTACCTAAATGCTCAGAACTACTAGAAGCACTTTGTAAAACCAGTACGGTAAAAAGCGCATGCTATCACTTAGTATGGTTCTCTGTTGCCAATTATTACTGTTAACAAATACTGCTATTTTATAAATATAGTCTGTTGTGATTCGATGGCTCTTTAAATATACATCTTCTATTCTATTTTAAATCACCGTTGCTTTAATTTTTCATTAATTATATATGTATATATTGTTATGAAATGCACAGGTGTGGTAAGATGGCTTCCCCGCAAAGCAGTTTTAGGGTTGCCATAAAATGGCTAGGGAAGACAGGGTTGCCACATTTGGCGATAAATAGCCCATTTGGCGACAAAATTGGCGATATGCCATAGACGGATGGAGAATCTTCTGGAACCAGTTTAGCCCAGAATGTTCTCGAACACAAGTCGAAAGTTATATAAACCCTGTTGGTCCACAGTCAATTAGAGTGTGCCTTGTCGAGAAGGCGGGTCAGAGTGGGCCTCGTGGAGTGCGAATTAGTTAGTGCGTCTCATCTAGTTAGTCCGTGCGGAGACGATCGAGTTGACAGATGGCCAGCGAGTGCCGAGTGGGTCGTCGAGTGCACCGAAGGAGTCTTTTAGTGCATCGTCGAGAGAGCGCGTTGAGCTCCGGGAACGACTGAACCGAAGAGTCGGGAGCTGTGCTCTGTGCGTCGTCGAGTGCATCGCGAGTTGTAGCCTGGAGAGTACGTGGAGTTCCGAGAACGACCAAGCAGAGTCGGGAGCTTTACTCTGGTGCTTTGCAGTGAAGCTGTCTCCACCGTGATACCTTGATAACCTGAAAGCTGTGTCGCTGATCGTGTCAGCGTGTTTATAACAGTTCGACGACTGTAAACGATATTTTGGAGCTGTCCTGATTAATACCGGCCAGTAAAGCGTGTTTCGATACTTCATCAAGTGTCGTCGTTATTCACACGAACCCCATGCGAACGTGAAGTAAGAAAATAACGTAACAGCTGGTGTCAGAAAAGAAAAAAAAAGTAACAATATGTATTTTATAATTAAATAATATATTAAAAGCTAAGATAAAAAGTTATCTCAGCTCTTAACATATTGTTTGTAAAAATTGTGGTCTGTGAAATCTTTGTCCAGGAGGTGACTTTTAGTTATCTGTGCTCATTAATGGATTTATGTCAAATACTCTAAAATAATTTTACAAAAGTAAATAAATTATCAAAATCGGAAAACTATAAATTTTAAATAAACTTTAAAACAGTTTATGCTCATTTGAAGCCAACTTTTTCTGTTGTTTGAGACAATTTTCTATGGACTACCACAAATGTTGACAGTGTTGCACAACAGAATTTATGAAATGTGAAACTTAAGATCGTTTATGGAATACTGAAATGTTTAAGTTTTATGTTTTTGATATTGCAATGTTTTATAAATTATGATGCATTAAATTACACAGCTATTTATTTTCCCTGTATCCCCCCTGCCTTCGAAACTTCAGCTATTATATTTTTCGTTTAAGATATTCAAAATAATAATTTTTATAAAATTTATTAATTTTCTGTGATTGTATAGGCATGTTATTCCTTTTCACGTGAATTAAATGAAAACTTTTGAAAAGAATCAGAAAGGAAAGTTTATTTTGTGCAGAATGCAGCTTAATTGTAACACTAGTTTAAAACGGTGACTGAAAACGCACTATTTTTGAATTTTGTAAATTTTATGTCAGACCATAAAAACCTTGCCTGTTCAAGCACTACTAATAGCCAACAACAACAATTGCAAGTAGAAACATCCCTCACTATACCCTACGATTACCAGGCGCGAATGCAAATTTCCTAGAAGCAAAATATGCATAAGGTCTAAATGAGCACGAAGCACAGCTAGGAACAATTTTCTGGCATGTTGGCATTGGGAATTCGGCTTGAATTCTAAAGAAGGCATGATTTTTGGAATGTGTTTTTTCAGCTTGAAGACGTTTAACATACTTTTTAGCAGAAAGTCTTCTTGAGAAGCTGGCGATAGTAGACTCTTTGAGCCGCGCCTCCATTAAAAACGAAATATAACGAAGCTGGGACAGGTCACTCTATTAGGTATTTCTCCCGCCTTCTTAGCATGCCTTCGTGGTGTAGTGGCCTGCACGCTGGACGCGTATTCCAGAAGTCCGTGGTTCGATTCCCGGCGAGAGCGTTACTCATTTTTCATGACTCCTGCTTCAAAAAAAAAAAAAAAAAAAAAAAAAAAAAAAACCTAATGTCTCTAGAAATCATAGAAGTGCCAACACGAGCTAAAAAGCCACTGTACGATTTCGCTAAATCAATTGCACATTCCCGCATGCCAAACTTTACGTTCTCTTATTGGCCTACAGCTTAAATTATATTCCACAGGTGTGAACGAAGTAATAGTTTTTATGACTTTAGTGGGACTTTTATGACTTAGGACTTTGATAGTTATACCACCGCTTGAAGAAAAAAACACCTGTACTTTATTGAAAACGTTAGGTAGTTTGCTTCAACTCTCAAAATAATTTATGGATAAGCCTTTAAATTTTAGCAAATTGTTTGGAGCGGATAGCTACAAAATTGTTTAGAAATAATTTTGTTTCTTTTTACAAATAATTTTGTTTCTTTTTACAGTGTGGTTCCAGCTCTGAAAAGCGGCAGTTTGAATCATAGTTAATACCTGCGTGGCATATAACGGTATGGTAGTTTACTTTACTTCAGTTTTGAATGCACGTAAATATGAAATTATTGTTTCAAAGTGCATCAAATTTGGAAACACGAATTTTAATTCTGAAAGGCAAGATCATAAGCATAAAGAGAAAGCTCTAAAGGATGTCGGTCTTTTTGAAGTTTTCCCTTGTGTAACAAATATATAAGACAGTTCGCATGAGAACGGTCCTCAGGAAGATGTCTTTCTTGTCAGACAGATGGCGCTCGTATGCTTTACAAACTCAAGACCTTTCAGTTTCCTCATTTCAGTGCAGTTCACAATTTGTGGAATATTTTAAACTAAAAGCAAATACACATAGGATTTTTTTAATTAAAAAATTAAGTTGCTAAGCTTAAAAAGTAACACAAAACATTAATCAACACGAGAAGGCTGCAAATTGTTTTTGCTAAATATGTTGTTTCCAGTAAACGTGGAATCTAATTTCCCGATTTTTGAACAATTTTCACTTACAGAATATGTCCTCGAATAATTTTCCCTCTGACACTTTGTACATATTGGTATAAGTTTTTATACTATAAGCAGACTATTTGGATAAAAATCACACACATGTTTTCTTAACAGATTATATATACTCAAATTACAATAATTTGTTCGTTTATTTACAGACACTTATAAACTGGGGGGCGGAACTAAGCAAAGTTGTACGTTCACCTGTATGGTGCTCCAGGCTCTTGCCAACGACAGATGCAATTTTGCACTCCTTGCCACGAAGAATTTCGTGTGCTTGTGCTTATGTTACTGTCAGACAAGTGAGATAAGTCACAACAACAACACAACACTGACAATTATTACTAAAATTACAGTCTGTATGTATCATAGACCAGTTCCTTTTGCAAATGATCTGTATCAAGTCACCTATGTACATTCAGCTTACCAAAAATAATCATACAAAAGCAAATGCTTACAATCTGCTTATCATGAACTGCTCATCTTAAAGAAAAAGACGTATGCAGCTTTTATATGCTTAAAATTAAAGTTGTTTTAATATGAACTAAGGCCATCTTTTCATTTCCATGAAAGATGTGAATAAGAAATTGCGGAGGAAATGTCTGATGTAGAGCTCAAACGGATTCACTAGATTCATAGAAGGAAACGAAGTCTGTAACACAAAGCATCCTAAGCATCTCCGAATATTATAATTTTTGGAAGTTCATATTATAGTATTATAACAATGTAATTTTTTTCAAAAGCGAATAATGACTATACTTTTATATAGTAAAATAATTATTCCCTTTTTTTTACTTTTATAAAGTAAAGTACTACTGAAAACGTACTTTGCTTTCATAAATTACTTTTCCTGTAAGAATAAATGTTTCTTAAATTGTGGCATATTTAATGAATTAACATTTTTATAACATAAATGTAATTTTTATACCCCATAGAAAAGCCATAATTTCATGTGTCTCGGTTTTATTACGATATTTATAATGTGATTGTCTAAAATTAAGCAAATCTCGATTTAGGCTTGTAACGTGTAAGGTATCCGAAATTTAAAATTTAATATATTTTGGATTAATTCGGAGGAAAATTAGTAACAAATTTCAGATGATTATAGAGTTAAATGAAATGAGTTCATACCCAAATCAAAATTTAAAAAAAATGTAGTTTCATTTAAATTCTAAAAATAACTACAAGTATTATCCATGACGTAATATATTTTTATTTGAAAATCACAGACACTAAAACAAATATGTACATAAAAATCTCACAAAAGTGTAAATCACTTTAAGAATTGAAATTTGGTTTTCAGTGACGATTTTAAAGTAGACTATTGCATTTTCTTACAGTTAATCATCACATGAATCCCTTTAAATTAATTAAGATCTGAAAAGATGTTTATGAATACTTTCCAAACCCTGCATTATTAACAATAACTTTTCGCACAGTTTTCTTAATTGCAGGCATAGTGTTTTGGTTTTTATTATTTATTATTATCCTATAGTTATCTCCCTTTGTATTAAAAGTGCTTTAAAACAGATGAAGTCTTAGTGTTCTTGGAACCGTAGGCAAGACAACGCATTCCGTACATACCTAATGCTTTAGCTTCTCTTATTTCACTCAGTTTGATGCAAGAGTTTTTATTTACTCATATGCAGAGAATGTTTGTTTATATCCGACACGTCTCTATATTATTGTCAAATGATACGCTCATCATTAGTCTTACTAACCTATGTGTTCTGTAATTTTGATAAAAAATCATGCTATAAAAGTACTTCAAATCCCTATTAGCTTTGAAACTAACTGTACCACCAGCCGTATGAGACACACCAACGTTACTCTTGTCCCATTAAAGCGTTCTTCAATAAACAAAACAAAATGCTTTGGAATTTCTTGAAAGATTTAAGAGAAAACACGTTCTTGAACTGAATTTAACCAAATTCTTTTTTCTCCGTTCTGTTGCAGATTAACTTCACAGCATGACATAAAACTCTGTTCTAAAAACCAAGATGTGTTCTTTGTGCAGAAACGTCTTCTCTTTCTTAATGAGAAGGAGGTTTCAATGAGCAAGATTATCTTATCTACTATTTAGCTCGTATTTCTTTCAATGCGAACAACAAAAGCTAAAGTTTTACAATCAATTCCATGTGCAATATTGTATTTCGAAGCACATTTCAGAAAGAGATGGTGAAGTCAGTTTTTCGTTAATCTTCATTTTGTTTCACTATCCCAAAATACACGCTGTCCTCCTGGAGTACTGTTATTCTGAGGCTTCTTGGTTGACAATTTATGTACAGAAGAGTCTGATCTAGGCAAATTCGAGATATATTGGACATTATGAGCACTTGATGCAGATGAAGTTCCATCTTGTTTGGATTGCCTTCGTATCTGGTTCCATAAAGGTGTTATAGGTATCCACTTAGATTTTGAATAGTCCCGAGTCTTGATAGTTTCCTTTTCAGATTTTTGAAATGTATCAATATGAGGTTGACTTAGTTTATAACTGACATGATCTTTTCCGAGAGAAATGTCTTCTTTATGCGGTGCTTTGTTAGACATAAAATCTATATTTTGTCCATGAGCTATATGCAGAACGATAGCAGCTGGGCGTTTAAGCTTCTCTAAGGGAACCATATTATTTTGCTGTTGATGAGTATGTTGTGCATCATTATGGTTTACTGGAAGATGTAAAATCCCATGTGGTTTTAATGGGAATGCATTTTTGTCAAGCACAACTGGAATCGATGAAGCACGATCGCCATAATTATGACTCTGACCATTATAGGGTATCGCGACGATACGCTGACCTGGAGCTTTGCTTTCAATTAGTTGCTTATAAACATCAGCATCAATCTCTAATATTGCTTGTTGCAATGGAAATTGCTCCTGGTTTTGAGTTGGTGCTTCTGTATTATGCTGTTGCAAAACACTTAAAGGTAAATTTTTTGGATAATTTTCTAACTTCTCATTATAAGGTTTAGCACCTATACGGATTTCTGCTTCTTTGTTAGAATCGGGTTTATACGAAGGTTTACTGTGGGCATCTGCTTTATTTATGTAACGAAGTTGAGGACCGGATTGATGTACAGCTTTTTGTAATATTTGAGTTGGAGGCACATCTCGAGAAATATATCGTGCACCATACTTCATTTGGTTTGGGGTAGGACTTTTATTATTATTATTATTATTATTATTATTATTATTATAACCTAAAAGATTTGGTTGCTTATTTCCGTTAAAAAAATCACTGTTCTTATAAAATCCATACTGTCTGTCTCCATAATTAGATTCTTCTTCTTTCTTATGCTTTATAAAGATAGCTGTTTGGCCAGGGTACGGTACACCTTGTTTATTATCCTGTTGTGGAAGATCAGTATTGTATTTTATTTTATCTGCTTGAATTAAAATTAACTTACCTTTCTCGTTGGGGTACGGAAAGTCTGCGTCATTGGCTGAATTCTTAAATATTTCATAAAATTCAGGTTCTACTAAAAGCGGGGCTTCGTGTTTTATTTCTGCTCCCCCTTCATTTTCGTCGAAATTACCACGAATTTCATCCATTTCATTATGTGGATGATTTCCCTGCTCATACTGTTGGTAAACTATCTGAGGACGTTTTTCATTTCCGTAGTTATAATCTTCATTTTCATGATGATAACGTTGATTTGTGGGTGGAGAAAAAGTTTCTAATTGGCTTCCGTACGGTCGGTGATTAGATGTAGTATCGCTAAAATCAATTGGATATTTATGTATTGGAATTGTATTTTCGCGTCGAGGTACATGTTTCTTGAAAAAATGCCTGTATACGACAGCTGGTGAGGCATTTTTGTTTCGTAATTGTTTGTTGATTTTAGTATAATAGTATTCCTCATCCGGTTCACTGGAAGATGGGTTTGCCTCCGGACTCAAATAATGTTGAGGATGAGGTGAATGCTTCAAACCGTAGCGTGTCTCTTCACTGTGTGGTTCGTCATTTATGAGTGTCTGTGGAGGTTGAAGATTAACTTTGTTATCTGTAGCATCCTTGTGTATAGTTACATCACCTGTAGGATAACTGGCTCCAGAAGCTGCAACTTGGGCATGGAGTGTCAAATCCTGACTTTTCTGAATGCCAACATCTGCAGGATCTTCATTAGCAACACCTGCTTCATTCGTTTTTACGTTTGCCCGAAAGCCAAAGTCATCTGCGATGTATTCTACTTGACGGTATTGCCCCTTGCTATCGCGATAACCAAATCGACCTTGGACATTTCCCGCTGCATCCTTTCGTTCATGCCGGAATTGATGGCCCTCTTTATGGTCTTGAACTTCAAATCCAAACTGATATGATTGAGGAACCTATAAATAAAAAAAAATATCTTAAGAGTTCTTTTGGCTAACAAACAAGCATAAATATTAAACACTTATATGTTTGTCAGAAGGAAATAAGAGAATGTAACCTCACACATACACACCCTTAATTTTAGTTATGAGTAACTTCTTCCTGTACAGAATGTACACAACTAATTCCTCATGTATAGAATTTATCATAAGTGAAGACAGACATTTCATTTTCTAGAAATAAAAGTCGAATTCCCGAAGGAATTTATTTTCGTGAAATTTATTTTCTGGTTCATTTGTAGAATCTAGTTTAGTTTACGTCGAAAAGCAGAAACAGTCTCACAATAATGAACTAAAAACATTAATATAATATCAACATTGTAAAATATTTCTCCCGCCTTCCTAGCGTGCCTTCGTGGTGTAATGGTTCTGCACGCTGGCCGGTATTTCAGAGGTCCATGGTTCGATTCCTAGCGAAGCCGGTTGCTAATTTTTCATCTCTCTTGCTTCCAAAAAATCCTAATGTCTCTACAGTGGCGCTCGAACTAAAAAGGTTGTGGATGATGACTCTCCACACCCAGGACTTGGCGATTGGGTCCTCTAAAAACCATAGTCGCCCTTTAAAAGAGGGGTATGTAAGATATTTCTCCCACTTTCCTAGTGTGCCTTCGTGGTGTAGTGGTTCTGCGCGTTGGGCCGGTATTCCAGAGGTCCATGGTTCAATTCCCGGGAAAAAGGGTTGCTAATTTTTTATCTCTCTTGCTTTAAAAAAATCCTAATGTCTCTACAACATAAATAAAATAATATAATAATATATAGTAAAATAATATAATAATATAGAGTATTTAGTTCATATATACAAACATAATATGAACTAAAAAGAGAAGTTTTTACTTTGGTATCTCGGTTGCTTTCATTATTATTCTGCGAGCTAAAACAAAGTTCCAATTTTTATTGTTTTATAATGCTAAGTTGTGGTTAGTCAAATTTCATTAGAAGTTTATTTGCATTTACCTTTATGTGGTTGCTGAAACTTTTAAGCACTAAATTAGACTGAAATAGTGTTTAAAATGATATTTAGCCAAGAAACATTCATAAGAAGCTAGAAAAAATGGATCATTAAATTAAGGCAAAATTTAGGTTTAGAAATTTTGATGAAAAGAACCTTTAGAGACGGAATATGAGAATTTCCTATTCCATCGTTTTTTGCCTATCCTTCAAGAATTACGTTTAACTAGACACTATTCAGCTAGACATAATTTAAGAGAGTAATAACTAACCCACGCATTGCTTAAATTCTTCTGTCAGACGCTTATAGTTAAAGTCAGGAACGTTATTGTTTCATTACTAGTCAAAGACAGAAGGTATTAAAATTATTCTTTTACGATCTACATGAGACCACAGTGCGAGGTGAAATATCAGTGTTTACACAATCGGAGGTGAAAGATCAGTGTTTAACATGCTCTACAAATAGATTAAGATGGCTAGATAGCTACTTTCTTTGCCGACCCGTAGAATGAGTAATCCTGTGATCAGAATAATATGGACGCATAAATTTCTTGCATTCTAAGTGTATGAGAGAATTTCATCCAACAAACAAACAGTTTGAAGTAGAAAGCCAATTTCAACCTATGTATAAATTTAAAGTCCAGTCTGCTTCGCTGAAAAGTGTAGTAAATTGAGAGAACTTGGTGGTCATTCAAGATAATTCATACTTGAGAAAGAATCGTGGTTTTCAAACGAGGAGTAATTGTCCTCAGTTTAGAACGCTCGTGAGATAACGCGAAAATTTTTTTAAAATTATTATTACAAGTAATTTACATGTAAAGAATTCGATTTGTACGAATAATCGATTTGATCCTGCCTTAAGAGATATCCAAAAAAGGAAAAGGAAGGATGTGAAAACCGAAGCATTTGCAAGTTTCATTTTATTTAAAGAAGGTACTAGAAGTCTTCTTTGAAGAATCGTTATTTTAATTGAACTGAAGATATTCAGGAAATGGTAACCAGGGACTTACACGGTGTGTCATAAAATGAGATATATAAAAGAACCAAGCAGTTGTATATATTTGTATACTGAAACCTAAGAAGTAAGGATTTTGTCTTCTTCCAACTTTCAATTTTATGTAAACTTATTTCTAAATTTTGTAGAAGCACTGTAAATAAATATATCATATCATAGAGCTATGATTAGAGCAGTAAAAGAGTCTGAAATATTTCGGCATCACAAAGTATTAAAGCATTTAAATTCAAACAACAGAACATTTTTCATATATAACAGAATTCTTTCAATAAAGCATTAATTTCTCATAATTACAATAAAATTAATACTAATGGAAATGAGTTAAAGAAACTAACAATCAATAAGCAAATCATGAAAGTAATTTTTCCAATTATCTCACAGCATAGTTTCGGTTTTCCAATAAGTGCTTTAAGAAATTGAAAGATATGAGCCAAAATGCGTTTCCTAATTTTCCTACGGGGGGGGGGAAAGAATTGTACTTTTTGAGACAAGGATGAATTTTTTAGAAATCCAAAATTATTAGGTCAGAAGTTCAAATACGTTACTATATATAAAAGAACATACATTAAAAAATAAATATACATGAATTAGTAGAATACAGTATTTCCAGTCCGGTTTCAGCTACAAGTTTTTCTTAAACTAGTTTTCCATCTAATTGAACATAACAACATAACATAACTATTAGGTAAATTAAATAAATCCCACAACTTCAAAGGTGCATATTATTTACTTTTTAATAATGATTGTATATTTTAATCATTCTTAAAAAGGATTTATGAAACTCTCTTTTCTATTTTTCTTCAATGTAAATTTCATCAACTATTTCGCTTGTGCTGGGTAATTTTTCCTAATAAACTGCGAATATGTAAGTTTTTTGTAATCATTTGCAATTAAATATTAAATTTTACCAATTTTAAAATACTGATTTATTATATTGAGGTAAATATGAAATTTCAATGAAATCCACAATAATAATAAATTTTATTTGAATATTTTTGTTCAGTGATGTTCGAAGTAAAATTTTAATAGAACTTTCAAACTCTGTAATTCATTATATTAAAAGGAATTAGACACATTTGAAATTTTAATTTAGGCAAAACTCGTCCCTTTATTGAGCTTTGTTTCATAAAATTCTCTAGCATTTTCAGGGAATAAGTCCTAAAAGTGCGCTTATTCTTTAAATAGTATAAATATTCTGTATGGTATCTCAGATAAAAATAAATGCATATTATTCAGAAAGAAACAATAATCAGAATTATTCAGAACAAACAACAATCAGGCAAAAAAAGCCCAAGAAAATAAAATTATGAGCTAAAATTTGTGAAAAATAATTAAGTTTTTAAAAACTTTTACAGAAAATGTTTCGAAATTGATGTTATTAACTAAAGTATGCTGATTTAATGATAATGTTTAATTAAGGGTTTAATTTTTTCTTAGAGCTTCCTAGAATGAATGACAGAATTTTATTTTCTATAATGCCTAATTTTCTTGATAAGAGGTGATACGATTATTGTTTCTTTTACGTATTATTTATTTACTTTTATTTTGCTTATTTTACTGGCATATTTCTTGTCTACAGAGCTAAATACATTTTTGCTTTGAAAAACGAGGGGTTTGAAGAAATTAAATAAATTTGGTTATGAATTATTTTATACATAAATTTTGTAGATCATTATATTGAAAGACAGCAAGTAAATTTTAAATTTTAATTTGGGAAATTATCAGAAAGGAACAGAATTATTTCAATATAACGTAAGAATTATATATTAACAAATGAAAATTAATTTAAAATAGATAACGCGAAAGCAACGAACAACAACAATACTGTTTTGTTTTCACCTGATTATTCTAAAAGTTAAAACGTATGCTAAAATAATTGGTTCCTAACTTTATGAGGGTTAAAAAGTTGCATATACGTATTTAAACTGTGTAAAACTAATAGAAGATTTTTTTAGGAAATTTAAAATTATCAGTTTACATGTTCAATTACATTATTATAAGTAAATGAATAATACAACTTTTTTTTTTAAATACATCGAATTTTTCTAAAAAATAATGTTAATATAAGTTTGGATTTTTAATACATTCAAACTGTTTATGTTCACTATAACACTTACGCCAGATCTAGGTCATTCATTATTACTTCACTTTCCTTCATAGTTTAAGATCATGCAGTTATGCACTCTAACATTAACACCAATTTTATCATTGTTTACAAAATCGCGCATCATCTTCAAAGGTGTGTGTGTGTGATTATGGCAAAGCCTCGAGGGCTATCTGCCTAAGAGGAGGGATGCCTTCGTGGAGGACTTTCTAAGGGAAACTGGCTCGTATACACGTTACACATGGGGAAAACCACGAAAACGCTCATGCAGCCAGCCCGTTCGCGGGATTCGAACCTCGGACCGAACTATCAGTGTTCAGCGATTTTACCGCTCTGCCGCTGATGGGCCCATCTTCAAAGGAGGATAATATTGGTATTTCTTCTTCAAGCAGGAGAACAACATTTGCTTTTTGAAGACAATAGTTTTAATCCTTGAAGAAGAAGGGACCGTGTTAATATCCCTTGAAATATATTCCGTCTTACATAACCTAAAATATGAAACACATATTTTAGGTTATATAAGACAGAATGTATTTCAACTTAATATTATCATATAAAAATAAAATATGATAATATCAAGTTTTTCTACAACACTGGTGTCCAAGATTATTTGACATAAGGTCAAATTTTGAAAATGAAAAAATTTGAATTCAGAGGCTTCTGCAATGTATATTTCATTTTAACCAAAAAAAAAAAAAAAAACCATTTAATTTATGCAAGTAATTTTTTGCAAGTTATTTGTAATATGACAAATAGTTTCAATCTTCTGTTAAGAAAATTTTTTAAAAATCAGTTTTTCTCTATGATCGGTTATTAAATTAAAATTAAAAAGAATGATTAATTTTAATCAGATTTGAGTTTATACTAATCATTAGTTAAGAACTAATGCAA